CTGACTTTAAGCTACCATCACCCCACTGTATGTCATAGTCGACCACTTCTACAGTACTCACCTTACCCTACTCTCTATCATTGTGTCTGTCTCTTTTACATCTACAAATCATTCTTCGGTCCCCCTCTTGAATTTTCCTCACTTTGATATTTCTCCCCTCCGTGAAGTTTGAAGTCAACTAAGGGCTAATGATAACTATCAAAACGCCTGCCATTAGAAATAAATAAATATTTGACATTGCCATACATCCCTTCCCATGGTAAAAAATTGTTACATTTTACAAATTACGTGGTAGATAATAACGATTTTGTTTCTAATTTGTTAATTATTATTAGCAACAATAATTGTGCGAATAATGAGACTTTTAACTGCCGAAAGAGACTAAAAACGGTTGGTGGAAAGTTCAACTAATAATTTGGATTCAAAACGATTCTAAGATCAACGGTTGTACAACAATTACTTAAATAGCCAGACCAAGTTCCGAATTCCACTTTCACGATTCTTCCGCTGTATCATAGCAAATTTTATTCTGTGATGCTTATAACTTGTTGATTGATCCCTGTTCATCGACTGGGTATTAACGAATATGACAGTGGCATCAGGAAACGAAAAAGTGCGTCGCACCGACAAATTTTTAGAACTTTACAAAAAACTCAGTGAACAAGAGTTTTACTCAAAATAACTGTCAGTAGAGTCTATTGCGGACTCAATCCAACTCCGAATCTGGAAATTGAAGCAAGCTGATTGTGCGCTTTCCTTAAGAAGGGTCTCGAAAATTCTGTTCATTAGCCAGATTTCCCAAATGTATTCTCAGTAGGGAGTTGAGGCAAGATCTGAGGGGTTTGGACAAAAATCAAACATTGCAACCGGTGAAGTTGTACAAATTGGTTAGCAACCACTTCGACTTCTCCCTAGGGTGTGAGGCGATTTCACTTTGGTATTGGAAGTAAATGCTAAGTCACCTTTTAAAAGGTGTGAAGGGAGGTATCGGATCACAACAGCCTTGGTAGCGGTGGACACACACACATCCAAAAACTATGACACTTTGGGGAAATTTGATCTACATGACTCGAGGAAGCTCGTTTAGACTGGATGCAAGCCAAGCTAGCGTTTATTCTACTTTGCTGTGCTTTCGATCCAGACAAAACTCATGCTTATCCAATAGGAACCAGATTGTTTGCGCTTCACCAGGATGCAGCATTTTGTTCAGGGGTTTCTTCACCTTTTTGCCAGACGAACATTTTCTGTGATAAGTTGACACCTTCGATGTTTCCATATGCTTGTAGACAAAAAGATCTTCATTGTGTGCAAGCTTCATCAGAGAGACCGAAACAGCAAGGTAACTGTGGTGTGCAGACAACCTTTGCATACTCTCAGACCTTTAAGCATTGTATTGCGTTCCTCTTTTTGTCTACTCTCTTTTAATCAGGTAGTTTGCAACCTAAACCGCACTCCATCTATCGTGCGGTACTTGAGTTCAGCTTCGTTAGTTTTCGTCAACTTATTCTCCACACCAGTGCCCTCTTTTCTGCCCCATCACAAAAAGTCTGTCTCACTTAATTACTAAAAAGCAGTTATTTCCCATCATATTTAATAATATTTATCCACTTACATAATTTAAGCAGAGTAAAGTTCGTCTAAGATAAATAGATAAGTCAACAATAGCTTGACTCTCAGTTCAAACATAATAAAACGCGCAATAAATTCTCATTTTTCCACTCCAGTTAAAAGCAAAGACTCATGCCCACAGATTCTATTTTTATAACTATCCGACATACGAGGGTATATGAACAAATGGGTTATTTAATGGATACCCGATGTCTAAAGGGACTCATTCTTATTAAAATTCGGGATATACTGGTCTTCCTTTTAGGCAAATCTGATATATTTTACATAGTGATGTATGAACAAGACGTCGAAATGTCAGTTAGGGTAGAGTTGATACCATAAGTACTCGTGGCTATAGCAATAACGTAATTTCGATATGTAACCAATTTTGAAATTTTTATAATCACATTCTCAACTTATTGTGAAATCAATTTTTCGGACTTGATGCCTAAATTTGTGAGTGAGACTTGGTTTTTGATATCTGGAACTTATTCAACAGCAATGAATGGAACACTGTAAAGAATTCTCAAATGCGTCAGTGCTAGCAAGATTCCAGCCGAAGTGACGTCTGGTTTTCATTTATATTATCATAGAAATTCGAGATTAATTATTCGTTTGTTAGAGTCCTTTTCAATTTCGTCAATTTTCCTATAGTGCTTGTCCATTCAAACTGCTTCCATATTCTGAAACGTAGGAAACATTTGCGCAAATTCGTTTTGGTGCGAGCGATTCCCATATTTTAACTCCACTTATTGCAAAATTGCCTTGATATTAGCGACAGACAATTAAATAAGTGACATCGCTTGGTTTTTTCTAAATTTAAATTTAAATGAATGAAATATTATATAGCACGGTTTAAGATTGCTAATAGTAAATTCTAACCTATTTTCTACTCACAAATCGCCTTCGCGTTGGCGCATATATTCGTTTAGCTGGTAATATGCGCTAATTTTGTAACCAAAAGTTTACTTGATAATCAATACTACATAAAATGAAGGATGTCTGCACGAATAACCTTGAATTGTGCTCAGTAATCTCAATGGTAAAATCTCATTGTTTGGAAAGGCTGCGAAGATAAGTTAAGTGACACAAAACTGTGGAGGGAAAAAAACATATGACTTTGAATACGTTTATTCAATGGGTGTGCAATAGACTTACCTTCACGTGGTGCACCCTGGGCAACGTATACTCATACGGCAAAAAAGTCTATTAACCGGCAGTTGACTTCTCACTTCAATTACCATCAAGTCTATCAACCGGCAGTTGACTTCTGACTTCAAACTACGTCTATCAACCGGCAGTTGACTTCTCACTTCAAACTACCAATCAGCCCGACTGCTTGTCATATTCAACCCCTTCAACAGCACTCGCCCCACTGTATGTCATATTCGACTACTTCCACAGTACTCGCTGACTCCATGTCATATTCGATCATTTTCACAGTACTCACACAAACCGGCAGTTGACTTCTGACTTCAAACTACCATGACCAGATCTATTAACTGGCAGTTGACTTCTCTATGTCATATTCGTTATATTAACTGGCAGTTGACTTCTCACTTCAAACTACCCTAAAAAAGTCTATTATTCGGCAGTTGACTTCTGACTTCAAAGCGGCAAAAAAGTCTATAAACCGGCAGTTGACTTCTCACTATCGGCAAAAAAATTCTATTAACCGGCAGTTGACTTCTGACTTCAACGCAAAAAGGTCTATTAACTGGCAGTTGACTTCTCACTTCACAAAAAAGTCTATTAACCGGCAGTTGACTTCTGACTACTCAAACGGCAAAAAAGTCTATAAACCGGCAGTTGACTTCTGACTGAAAAGGTCTATTAACTGGCAGTTGACTTCTGACTTCAAATAAAAGTCTATCAATCGGCAGTTGACTTCTCACTTCAAACTAAAGTCTATTACCTGGCAGTTGACTTCAAACTACCATGAGTAAGTCTATTAACTGGCAGTTGACTTCTGAGTTCAAACTATCATGACCCCAAGTCTATTAATCGGCAGTTGACTTCTGACTTCAATTACCATGATCTATTAACTGGCAGTTGACTTCTCTATGTCATATTCGAAGTCTATAAAC